ATGGGAGGAGAGCTGAGAGATGGGGAGAGGCGGGGAGAATGGAGCAGGCAGAAAGGAAGAGCGTTGGTTTGCGACACCAAAGCTCCCCCCTTCCGGCAGCCGCTCAGCCTCCGACGCCGGCTTCGCGGCCCTGCCCTGCAGGCGCCTGTTTGCCAACCGCGGCTCGGAGCACATGGACCTGCGGAACAAGTTTGTGGGCAAGACGCCGCCCAGGCGGCGGCTCACCAATGCTACCTATGACGAGTAGCCCTGCGCCCCCCAAGCAAGCTGCCGCAGGTGGCACCAGCTCGCCCGCCTGCGTACCGGGGCCCGGCTGGGCGCTCCCCCACATGTGCATGCATGTACACACATTCCGACACACTCCGGCACGCGTGCCGCGACTTCATGCCACCCACCATACCGTTCTTTTGTCTCTACCACAGCCACTGTTTGCCGGCCGTCCATTGCTAGCTGGTTAGCCCATAGTTGCTACTCAAACTTCTGGTTGCATTTTTGCCCCCCCCCACCCCACCCCATCAATCGCTCTTTCTGACAGCTGTACCCGATTCCCCCTGTACCAACAGCGCACCGTCTCCTTTGCTTTCATTCAGTCTGTTGACCGTCCGCCGCTGGCCATGTGTAACTGAGGTAGCACTGCTAGCGTGAAGGCTACTCGGATGGATGAATTACAACAGAAAGCGTTTATCAAAGAGGGAGCAAAAGCAACGCTCGGCACTGTGCTCAGGCTGCGGGCAGCTGCTCCGGGCGCGCCTCCTTGGCCAGAGCGCTGATGGCTTTAAAGGCTGGGTGGCTGGTGTTCTTCATCATCTGGAAGCACACCATCTCTGCGGGGCAGAGCACACAGCAGCAGGCATGGATGGCAATGATGCACCTCCCGCCGCGGAGCTGAATGATCACTTTTGATGAGCAGCATCCAGGCCCGCATGCATGCAGAGTTACTCTTTCATGCCGGCGCAGCCCTCAGGCGCACACCCGAGGTGGCCAGGAAGGCGCCCGACTGCGCCAGGCGCTGCAGCGCCACAGAGCGGTCACCCAGGCGCTGGCTGCTGACACCATCCACCAGCACATGCACCTCGTACCCTCGCTCTGCGGGCAGGGAGGCACCAGCAGGGGCATGGAGCGTCAGTGCCTGGGCGGCACAATGCGCAGCAGATTGGAATCAGCTGGTGGCATGGCGCCTGGGAGCGCACGCCTGGGGGGCGCCATGGCTGCGGCTCAGCTGGCCATGGCTGTGCAGTGCGGTCAGCAGGCTGCATACCCGCATACCCCACCCCCACACCCACCCTCCCACTCCAGCGCCTCACCTAGCAGGTCCAGCGAGGTCTGCAGCACGCACACGTGCGTCTCTATGCCCACAATCAGCACCTTCTTCACCCCGGGCAGCGCCTGAAAGGCCGCGTTCACCTCCTCTGTGCACATGCTGAAAAGCGTCTTGGCCACCACTGCGCCAGCACAGGGGCAAGGGAGCCGAGTGAACAGGGGCGGGACAGGGTGCAGGTCAGCACATCGGAAGGAGGCAGGAGGCCACACTGTTCCGCGACACGCCGACGCAGCGGGCCTGCCTACCACCATCCCTCCCCGCTGGCTGCAGTTGATTTGTCCAGGCCTGGCCCGGCCGCCAGCCATCCCACCTGGCGCGCCCTGCGGGATGAACTCCCTGAGCTCCTCCACCGTGTTGCCCAGCGCCTTGGGGTACTGCTCGGTGACGATGACGGGCAGCTGCAGGGCGGCCGCCGCACGCAGCTGCAGGCACCCAAAAGCGGCGCAGCACATATGGCGTGCAAGAAAGGGCCCCTAGCGACTTGGTTGTCGAAGGCAGCACGCGCACCGTCGGTTGCGGGCTCTGCCACTCCACTGGGCCCAGTCCCCCGCCCCATGGGCTGGCCGGCATCCCGGGCCCTGCTCACCATGCGCTTGCTGGTGTCAATGACGGCGGGGAAGCCGGTGATGACGGGGCGGAACCTCTCCTGAACATCGCACACCAGCAGCGCCGTCTCCTCGGCCGCCAGCTTGCCCACGCCGCCGCCGTTCGCTACAGTCGCCATGGCGCGCACTGCAGGGTGGGGCGATGGTGTCGCAGGGCGCCAGCACGGGTGAGAGCTGGCTTGGCAGGCTGCGGGCGGCAAGAACCCTGTGGGAGCGCAGTCGTTCGGGGGAATGCTGGTTGGACAGTGGCTGCGGCGCTCCCTGGCCCACCTGATGTCAAGCTGGAGTGAGGCGAGGCCACGGGGGAGTGGAGAAGGTGCCTTGCAAGAATGCTGACCCGCAGCGCAGCACTGGCCATCCCCAGCGCTTCAGAGACAGCCCTGATCACCCTGATCAAATGCAATCACCTGAGCATTTGCAAAAGTGAGACCTGCCAGGTGTGTCGTGCTGTGGGCACAGCAGCACGAAGTGACGCTCCAATGGCCCGCCTCGTTGATCAATGCTCAATACACATTTCGTCGTTTTCACGCCCCCAGCACACCAGACACGTACGTATTGCACTCCACTGACACACCGAGTAGCAAGTGCTCCAGCACACCTGTGGCAGCCCGGATGGGTTCGCTGGTTGAAGGATGGGACGCTCGCAAACCCGGAGCAGTGCCCAAAGGTCAGAGCAGCGCCTACGAGGCCAGCGGCGGGGGCAGCGGCCTGCGAGTCCATCCCTGGGAGCCTGTGGTGGGCTGCCAAGTCGCCAGCAGGGTGCCACAGGCCACGGTCGGTTCCGAGGGTGCAGCCATCTCCCTTCCGAGACCGGCTGCGATGAGGCAAAGGGGTGGTTCTGACCTGCTGGTCTGTGCGCCTTCCCCGCCTCAGGATTTGAAGATTTCAAGGAGCCATACACCCCACGGGGCACCAAGCGAGCTCCCATGTCGGGCCCCTCCTTCGGAGAGGACACTGCCCACACCAGGCAAGGCGCCGGCGCTTCCCACAACCCTGCTTTACCTCATCTCCTGCTCGGCAAGGGTTCTGAATTGCCTCCCCTGCCTGCCCGCCTGCAGCGGCGACCTGGAGAAGCTGGCGGGACCGCCCAGCCTGGCCCGCACGTCGGCGCCCGCCATCCATGGCGCCTCCGCGGTGCAGCGCTATCTGTCGCGAACCTCCAGCGGAAGGGGCGGCATGTCGCTGCCAACCACCCCGCGGGAGCCAGGCAGCCCGCGCGCCTCCACGCCACGCTCAGGTGTGCGCACATGCCGTGGTCTGCGACAGATGACGCTCCAGCCAACATTCATGCTAGATGCCTGGCCGGCTAAATGTTCCGCTGCGTTGTTTGCACGTCATGGCTTCTGCAGCCAAGCTGACCCTGAGGATTGGTGACAGCGAGGAGGAGCTGGCGGCGCCGCTCAAGACCAAGGAGAAGTGGTAGGCTGCTTCTTCATTGCTTCTACTGCCATAACATGCACGTGCATTCCTCCTGCCTGCTGCCAGCATGGCCAGGCAGCATGCCGGCTGATCTGTGTGCCACCCTGCGCAGGTGCTCCCGTGTGGATTCTGCTACCCTCAACCTGCGTCCGGACGAGGTCGATTCGGAGAGCTGGCGCCATGGCTCCTTCAAGTGAGCTGCCGGGGTGCCTTCTGGGCAAGGCTTGCTTTCTCAGCGGCATGTCGCACATACTGCGCTGCCGACAGATCCACAAGGTCGAGACAGGGCTGGCCTGCCTGCCTGTTTGCTGACCACAGTGGCAGACATTAGGCTTTCAGGGTGCATGTTCAGCCGACCCATGCTGTGGTTACTTTGTCTGGCTGCAGGCTGGATGATCCATGCCACACCATGCACATCCAGCACAGCCCCACTGCGCAGCAGGGCATGGCGCCCTTCACGCCGCCCGCCGTGACCGTCTCGATGGTGGCGGCTGCGCCCGAGGCCGGCCGGCTGCCAGTGACGGTCAGCCGGGTGCCGCGCGAGGCAGCAGAGTCGCTCGACAGCTCTGGCCTGTAGCGCGGCTTTTGCCTCACGGCAGGCACAGCATGCGACGCCACCACAGCCTGGGGAGGCCAGCTGGCAGTTGACCACGCCCCTACCGGGTTTCATGGCAGGAGGCACCGGCTGCCGGGCAGTCACACAGGGAATCCAAGCGCTGGCGGCACCCTCTCATCTCTATACTGTCAGCCCACAAGAACATTTATTCAGGTTAGCTCTGACCATCTATAGCGTACCAAGCAACGCAGGCACTCCAACAGCATGAGCGTGAGAGAAGCCCTGCAGCCTGCGCGCGAATCAGCACGGCGCGCCAAGCTTCGCTGCTCGTGCCAGCAGCTCAACGGCGGCACTCATGTCAGACCCTCTCTCTGCGCCCACCTCCGGCTTCATTTTTCATACCCTAACTGGACCTTCATGCTTGTATACTGTAGCGGGTTCTCTCTGCAATTTTGGCACATGCCTAGTGTGCTCCATGTCTTTGTTCCCTCCTGGATGCCCGGCGAAGCAGCAGTTTGATGTGCTGTTGGTTTTGGTACTTTTGCACGGCGGCCGAGCCTTTGTCGGAGGTCGAATGGGCCGGCCCCGCCTCTCATGCACACCCCACTGTACTGTTTCCATGTTTACACCTGTGCATCCCGTCTAATCTTCGCCTGCTCTCTCGCTGCAATTGCTCAGGCGCAATAACTGCATGATGGGCTTTGCCCCCACCGCTCATGATCCGATCCATGCATGCTTCAGGCTGCTAGCCCATGATCCCCCTGCCTGCCGATGTAAACTAATAGGACTGTATGCTGAGCAGGTGTGCACTTCTCGGAAAGCAGATGGGCGGCATGCTGTGCCCAGCGGCGAGGCCATGTCAGCGCCGGTTGACCTCCGCCTTTGACTGCGGGGCCACACTGTCAGCTATTTCAACATGGATTGGCAGACAACTATCAACGCTCTGCAGCCGCTGCTGCCCTCGGGGCGGCCCAAACTCACGCAGGAGCTACTGTCCCGGCCCCCCTTCCGCTTCCTGCATGATATCGTCACTTCCACGGGCTTCGCACCGGGACTCTTCACGGCCGCGGAGCAGGATGCCCGCTCAATGGTGAGGCTGGCGCTGCCGCCACCCCCCACCTGCCGACCGCCCCTCAATCTTAGCATTTGCTCCGCCACTTGCCTCCAGGACAAGGAGGCCAAGCTGGCGTATCTGCAGAAGCTTCAGGACGCCATTGCCGCAGTGCTGGGCCAGCCAGTGCCGGCACGCCCCTCAAAGGTATGCCCACCTCCCTAGCAGCCGGGACACCACCAACTCCCAGCTTGAAACCCGAGCAGCGGCCTCCCTGCCTGCTGCTCCAGATCGTGGCGGGACTGGAGCCAGAGGCCACCAACACAATGCTGCAGATGCTGGCCGCGGCGGTGCAGCAGGGCGATAGCGCCGCCGCCGTGCAAGCGGTGCTGGGGCGGCTGGCAGAGCCAGCCAACGCCGCCAGCGGCGCCGCCGGAGTCAGCACTGATGGTGGCAGCAGTCGTCACCGTGCACTCACTGCTCCTACTGCTGGCGGGCTCCGGGACCAAGGCTTGGTAGGCGACGCGGGATCTGCGGATGAAGATGCTGCCCCCGTGGTGTTTGCCCGCCTTGACAACCTGCTGCCGGCGCTGGGCCGGAAGATGGAGGAGGCACGGCAGGTGCTGACAGGCACCGGCGCCGCCGTAGGCAGCGCCGAGGCCTGGGCACGGTGCGGCAAAGTGCAGGCCATTGCCCAGGTGAGGCTTGGTGTGTCACGCTTCTTCCCCCGTGTTTATGGTATTGTGGCCTCCACCAGGCTCGTCTTTGTCCGACAATAGGCAGGCCCCACATTTGTGCCTCTACTCCCGCAGGATGCGGCGGTGCTGGCCAAGTGCCTGGATAATCTCTTCTCCAGCGCGCACATTGTGGCCGCAGAGGCAGCCGCATGGCGTAAGGAGGCAGACAAGCTGGCAGCCAGGGTGGAGCAGGAGGAGCGGGCAGAGGAGGCGGCGGCCGGGGCAGGCCAGCAGCGCGTGGCAGAGCTGGAGGCGGCGGTGGTGGCTGCACGGCAGCGGGTAGCAGTCCTGGCAGCGCGGCGGGCCTAATGCGTCCTGTATTGCATAGCCTGCACTGTAGCACAGCCTGAACTGCCGCTCAACCGCCAAGGTCGTCGGGTCTGGGCGGGGGCCCGTGCGCCGTTGTCAACCGCTGGTTGGCGCATCAAAATAGCCACGTATCAGCCTGCATGCGGATTATATCATCCACTGGGGGAGCTTCACGAATGAAATGCTACATGAGCCTCTGCAGCAGAAGGCCGGCGGGACGGACCGCCCGAGTCCTCGCTGGCGTCGCCCCGCTGGCATGTGCATGTCTCTCCCTGGGCAGCCCTTGACCCTGTAAGGTGCACTTCCACGGTATTCTTACTTTCATCACTCCAGCTGCGAAACCGTTGGCGCCGGTTTGAAAAAGGCGTTGTCGCGACCACTGGGCCCTCGGGCGCTATGGCGCTGGGCACCAAGGCTCTAAAGGAGCTGGCACGGAGTCTAGACGCCGCGAGGGATTGCCTGCGGGACTCGGCGGGCGGCGATGACACCCCAGCAGTCGATGAGCTGGGGGCCTACAGAGAGGGGCAACTGCTGAAGAAGCAACTGCTGGAGGCGCGCGCTTCCAGGCTCTGCCGCTTCCTGGAGCTGACCGGCGGTTCAGGCTGCACCCCACGCGCCGCCACCAGCGGTGTTAGCAGCGGCGGCGGCGGCGGCGGCGGCGGGGGTGCCCACTGGGGCGCGCAATCAAAAGGCCAGACCCCGGCGGTGCGGCGCCGGCTGGGCTCGCTGGACGATTCTGCTGAGGAGGCGGACAGCAGCCCCCGCGGCGGCCGCAAGGCAGCACACTGGCACTCTCCAGGTGACGCACCGCTCTGCCAGCCGCAGCAACCTGGCAGCCCCTCTGCTGCTGACCACATCCATGCACCCTTGCTTGCCCGCTGCAGTGTCAGTCCTGGAGGGTGCCGGGGCGTGCTTTGATGCATGCAGCACGCCCGGCAGCAGCCGCTCCGATGATTCCGAGCAGGCGGCGGCCAGCCTGCCGCTCACCCCCGTGCCGTGCGCGCTCGACGACCGGCAGCAGGCGGCAGCAGGCAGGGCCACCAAGCCGCCGCCGCCGCCGCCGCCCATGCCGCCGCCGCCGGGCGTGGTGCGGCTGGGGGTGCGTGTCATGCCGCCCACTCAGCTGGACGTGCGCTCACCACAGCTCACGCCGCGAGCGCGCCTCACCTCGCCACGCAAGCCCAGCACGCGGCCAGCCTCGACGCTTGTGCCACCAGCGCAGCAGCACGCGGCGGCAGCAGCAGCAGCAGCAGGGGCAGGGGTACCCGCTCCACCGCCCCCGCCCCTGCCAGCAGCCAGGCGAGGAGCCGGTCCGCCGCCGCCGCCACCCCTGCCCAGGGCAAGTGGAAAGGCAGCCGCGGCGCCGCCACCTCCTCCGCCCCCGCTGCCTGGAGCAGCTCGCAAGGCGCCACCGGCACCCCCACCGCCGCCGCCAGCGGGCCAGCCAAGCCTGCCCTGCCTGGCGGTGCCTGGGAGGGAGGGCGGGGCGCCAGGACGCAGAGGGCCATCGCCGCCGCCGCCCCCCGGCCAGCCAGGTGGGCGTCGCGTGCCCAAGTGGCTTTGCAGCCACACTTTGAGAAGCCTGCCGGTTCATTCCCTGAGCGCGGTGCTGCATGGGCCCCCCCTGCTGTGCTTTGCAGGCGCGCTGCCAGCCCACCTGGCGGCGCCGGCGCCCAAAGAGGGCGTGCAGCGGCGGCCCATCCATCTGGACGGTGTGTATGCCAAGAACGCGCGGGGCAGCCTGTGGGAGCAGCCGCCGCCGGGACAGGAGGCGGCAGACCCTGCAGCGGCGGTGCGGGTGGGGGCGCTGGACCGCCTGTTTGCCAAGCAGCTGGCGGTGGCAGCAGAGGAGGAGGGCAGCGCGGCCGGCAGCAGCCCCGCAGCCTCCCCGCAGCGCCCCTCGGCGCCTGGGGCCAGGCAGGAGCCTGGCGGCCTGGAGCGTGCGCTGTCCGGCAGCGGCGGCAGCGAGGCGGGCGGCACGTGCGGCAGCCCGGGGGCCGCCAGCCTGGCCAGCCGCGGCAGCCTGTCGCTGGGCAGGCAACGCCCCATCATCCGCCTGTTCACGGGGGGCAGGAAGGCGGTGAACATCGAGATCCTGATGCGCAAGCTGCCGGCTGACGTGGCGCAGGCCGTCGCTGAGCTGGACACCAGCCGCCTGCAGGTGCGGCCGCTGCGCGTGCCTCCTGCTCCCGGGCCGCAGGCCTGCCCCCTCCCTGCTCATCGGCATGCCCCTCGTCCACCGCAATCCACCTGTGCGATTCACGCCGCTGCTTGTTGGCTGCCTGCCCGCCCTCGCCTCGCAATCGCCAGGTGGCGGTGCTGCGGGAGCTCCAGGCCAACCTGCCCGACGCCGCGGAGCTGGAGGCGCTCCACTCCTACCTGGACGCCGGCGGCGACCCCTGCCAGCTGGGCAGGGCAGAGCAGCTGTTTGTGGCGCTTCGCGGCACGGCGCGGCTGCAGCAGAAGCTGCAGGTGGGGGCTCGTGGGCCCCGCTCTCGGCCCCTCATGCCAGCAGCGGATGCAGGGATGCACACACCAGCGAGGGATATGTGTGTGGGCGGGCGGCGGCAGGGGCTGGAAACCCACCTCTCCCCCTCACCACCCGCCCCGCCCCGGCCCTCCCGCAGGTGCTCATCTTCAAGGGCGGCCTGCAGGAGCAGGCGGGCGAGGTGACGGAGCCTCTGGCGCGCATCGTGGCTGCGCTGGACCAGCTGCGCGCCAGCCCCGCGCTGCGCCTGCTGCTGCACACCGCGCTGCGCCTGGGCAACACGCTGAACGCGGGGCGCAAGGCGCCGCAGCGCGGCATCCGCCTCGCCTCGCTGCGCAAGTTGGCCGACACTCGGTCCATGGATGGCAGCACCACGCTGATGCACTACCTGGTGGCCCTGCTGCTGGAGGAGGCGCCAGGGGTGAGAGCGCCGCCCGGGGCGGGCGCGCCGCGGCCCTGCTGCGCCGCTGTGGTCGCGCTGTGCCGCTGCACGTCTGGTGGAACCGCCTGGGCAGGCCATGCCTGCCTTGCCATGCTGCCGCCGCTGCCTTGCCTGCAAGCTGGGTGGTGCCGACCTCTGCGCGTGCCTGTCCCTGCCTGCCTGCTGCTGCGTGCAGGCGCTGCTGCTGGGCAAGCCGGGCAGCCAGTGCGAGGCGGTGCCCGCGGCGCGGCACTGGACGTTTGCAGAACTGGAGAGTCAGGTGGGCGTCGGGGCTGGTGTGGGGGGGTGTCGCACACACAGCATGCCATTCATTGGCAGGAATCGAAGCACAGCTCAGCAAAGCAAGCAGCCAAGTGCCGGCCTGTGACTTGACGCCCTGCCGCTGCTCTGCGTGGCCCGCAGCTGGGGAGCCTGAGCGCCGGTATCGACATGGTGCGGCAGGAGCAGCGGGCGGCACGCGGCGGCGAGCAGCGGCAGCTGGCGGCCCTGGCGGGGCAGGCCAGCGCGCTGGTGCAGCGCGCGCAGCAGCTGCTGGCAGCGGCGCGGCAGAAGGCGGCCGACACGCTGCGCTTTTTGGGAGAGGATGTGGCTGCGGAGCCGGCGCTCAGCACGGCAGAGCCCCGCCGCATGCTGGGAGACCTGGCGGACTTCTTTGCCCTGCTGCATCGCGCGGCACACGCCGACGCGGAGCGGCTGACTGTGGTGCTGGACACCATGCAGCGGCAGCGGGACGAGGAGGAGGCGGAGCGGCGGCGGCGGGAGGAGGAGGCCGAGGAGGAGGAGCGGCGGCGGCAGTCAGAGGAGGCTGAGGGTGACAGCGAGGAGGTGGAGGGGCAGCAAGGCGGCGCCGAGCGGGCGGAGCGGCCGAGTGCGCCAGCGGCCCTCTCCAGTTGCTCGGATGCCGCAGCTTAGCCCCGGACCCTCCGTTGTCTGCCGCCAGCTGGACTTTGACACTTGACATGCAGCTCTCGTTGGTTTGAGCTTCTCCACCACATACAAACCACACACCACCACTTGCGAACCATACCGGCCCATCTTCTAGTGCCACCAACTTAACATCCCCCAGTTTTGCCGCTTGCGTGTTTTGCTCTGCGTTGACCCCGCCTTCCTACCTACCTCCACTTACCAACTGACTGCTACCGCCCAACCACCCATTGCGCTCTATTGCCGTGTACTCCCGCCTGTAATTGCTCATTTGCAGCCTGCTCCAGCGCTTGGTTGACCAAGTGTCCCATCGGCGGCGCTGTGCACGCTGGCGGTGGCGCTCACCGCGGCCAACCCACCCACCCGCATCCATCGCAGCCTATTCTTCAACAAACACCATTCCACCACTCTTACAACCTCACCCTAGTTGCGCAGCCTTTGGGTTCCAAGCGCCACTTTCAACCGTTGCTAATCGCGGGTTTGCTTGGAGCTGTACCCCTCTAGGGTTCCGGTTTTGGTTTCGGCACCGAACATAGTCTTGAAGTGAGTGCAGAGAGGTCGGAAACAGCATCCTGCGCTGCGCCGGGTGCTGCCATCAGTGTCGGAGCTCGGGCGCCTCCTCATCCACGCCATCAGTGCCGCTCTGCTGCTCCCCCGACTGCGCTCGGGAAGCACATTAGGGTTCACAAACCGGTTAAGTGGTGTCGCAGCCGCGCCCGACATCACCGCCGCTGCCGCCGCCGCCGCCTGTCGGCGCAGGACACGCCACCTGGCCGCCCCCATGTCTGCCGCCGACGTCTACTCGCCCGCGGTGCGGGATGGAGCCTACATCAAGGACAAGGCGCAGTACGATGCCATGTACCAGCGCAGCGTGGAGGACCCCAACGGCAAGCAGGGCGTCCTGGGGCGGCAGCTCGTGGCACCGGAGCGGGTTGCCCGCTCACGTGCACCCCCTTGCCCTGCCATGCCCCCTCCCCGCAGGCTTCTGGCGCGACCTGGCCTTGGAGAATTATCATTGGGAGACGCATCCCGACAAAGAGCACGCATCCTTCAACTTTGACGTTCGCGAGGTGGGCAGCCAGCACATTGACTCCTGAGAACTCGCACACGACTCCACCCACACCCCACCCGCACCCATACTGCAGGGCAGGGTGTACAGCGAGTGGTTCAAGGGCGGGCGCACCAACATGTCCTACAACTGCCTGGACCGGCACGTGGCTGCCGAGCACGGCGACCAGACCTGCTTCCTGTTTGAGGGCAACGAGCCGGGGCGGGACGGCGCCATGACGTACAAACAAGTGCTGGACGAGGTCTGCCGCGTGGTGAGTGGATGGGTGGGGCGGATGCAGGGAGGGGCGGAGGGAGGGGATGGTCGTGGGGCGAGGAGGGGGCAGGCGGGTTGTTTGGGGCGCAGCTGCGCATGCACGTCGCTCTGACCCTGCCAACGGAATTGAAGGGTGCAGGCCAACTGGCTGCGCGGGCAGGGCGTGCGGAAGGGCGACTTTGTGTGCATCTACATGCCCATGATTTGTGAGCTCCCAATCGCCATGGTGAGTTTAAAACAATATGCGTCGCCCCGCTGACATCACCCCCGTCCCCGGCAGCCTGTGTTTTGTTTTGTGCACCCCTGCCCCCGCCTGCTGAGCCACCCTGCTGCCGCCCCCGGCTGCTGCAGCTGGCGTGCGCCCGCATCGGCGCCATCCACGCCGTCGTGTTTGGCGGCTTCTCAGCCGAGGCGCTGGCGGGCCGCATTGAGGGCTGCCACGCCAAGGTGGGCGCGCCTCCGCTGGCTGCGCTCAGCCGGGCGTCCAGCTGGGCTCTCGGCACCGGAGCGCTGTCCTCGTCCATCGCCAGCCACCCCGCCTGGCATCCTCAGCTGCTGCTACTGCAGACCGCTGCTGCTGAGCCCCTGCCACCCGCCGCCCTGCCCACGCAGGTGCTCATCACCTGTTCCGCCGTCATGCGCGGCCCCAAGCCCGTGGGCCTCAAATCGATCGCCGACGAAGGCCTGCGCCTGGCGGGGGAGCGCGGCCACAGCGTGCCGCACGTGCTGGTGTTTCAGAACGACGACGCCGGGCGGCGGGAGGATGTGGGGATGGAGGCGGCGCGCGACGTGTTCTGGCAGGACGCCATCCCGGCGCAGCCGCCGCAGGCGGAGGTGGAGTGGGTGGAGGCGGAGCACCCCCTCTTCCTGCTCTTCACCTCGGGCTCCACTGGCAAGCCCAAAGGGGTGGTGCACGCCACGGGTGGGTGATCTGGCCGTGGCAGCAGGGCCCGCGGGTAGGCGGGCAGGCTGGCGGACTGGCTGGCTGTGAATCTGAGGCGCCACCTCACATGGCCGCTCCGCAACGTCCCCTCCACCTTGGCACCCCACCCCATCCCGTCCAGCCAACCTACCCACAAGCTGCAACCAGCCCCTTCCTTCTCCCACCCCCTACAGGCGGCCTCATGGTCTACGCCGGCATCACCACCAAGTATGTGTTTGCGGTGCACCCTGGGGACACCTTCTGGTGCACAGCAGACTGCGGCTGGGTGACGGGGCACTCCTACGTCACCTACGGTACGTGGTGGGGCCAATGTGGCGTGGGCTGGGGCGTGGCTGGGTTGGGAGGGTGAGAGACTGCTGTGGAGTGGGCAGAAACAACAAGGGGGGGGTGGCGTGGGGGCTGGGAAGAAGGCAACTGAGTGGACTGCTGCTGCCCATGCCGTCCGTGCCTTCTGCGCCCGCCCTGCAGGGCCCCTGCTGGAGCGCGCGACCTGCGTGGTGTTTGAGGGCGTGCCCACCTACCCCACCCCCTCGCGCTGCTGGGAGGTGGTGGACAAGCTCAAGGTGCGGCCTCGCCTGGCGCCCTGCCCACGCTCGCTTGCCTGCCACAGACACCTCCTCACCCGCCGCCCCCATCTCCGCGCCTGGGTCGCTGCACGGGCCTACGCCGCAAGCATGCGCAGCACGGGAACCTTCCTTCCACCTGCTGCCTGCCTGCCTGCCTGCCTGCCGCAGGTCAAGCAGTTCTACACCGCGCCCACGCTCATCCGCTCGCTCATGCGCTTTGGCGACGAGCCGGTCAAGGCGTACGAGCGCTCCAGCCTGCGCATACTGGGGTCGGTGGGGGAGCCCATCAACCCAGAGGCCTAGCGCTGGTACCATGATGTGAGTGGGGGCCGCCGCTTGCGTGTGGCGCGGCCTGCCAACCAATGCTAGCATGGCAAGAAGCGCCCTCCGCCCCACCACCACCACCACCACCACCACCCAGTCAACTGACACCAGCCCCACCCCTCCTCCCCGCAGGTGGTGGGTGACGGCGCCTGCCCAGTGGTGGACACCTGGTGGCAGACCGAGGTGTGGTGCCCCTCCGCCCCCGCTTGAGCTGCATCCTGCTTGCGGCTTGCATGGTGGTCCCCAGTCCTGACGCGCCCTGCTGTATTGCCGCTCTCCCTGTGTGCCCAGACGGGCGGCCACATGATCGTCAACCTTCCCACGGCCTGGCCCGAGAAGCCCGGCAGCGGTGAGTGCTTTTTGGTTGTCGGGGCGCTGGGAGGGCCCTCGCGGCTGGCCCCCATGGGCACAGCTTTTGAGCCAAGTCCGCGTCAGCTTGCTTGTGCTTGTGTGGGCTTAAAGTCTGGTAAAGCAAGAACTAACTTGCAACATAGACTCCCCGCCGAAACGGGACGGGAACCGGGCGAAAGCAGAGAAAGCAATAAAACAAGGGTGGAGCAAGGCGACATGCAACGCAAGCAGCTGACAGGGCACGCATCGAAACGTGTGTATGACTGGCAAAGTGGCATGGCGCATTGGGGAGAAACGCAACGGTACGGGAGCATGGGCTGGCCAAATGGCAGTGCGGAACGCTAGGTCACTAGAAAAGCAGGGAAAGGCGCACTATGTATGCAATGAGGGCAGCCCCGGCTCGGGGCCGTTGAGAAAGCAGTGGGCGGGAGGGGGGAGGCCCCGGTGTGGGCGGGCCCCATCGAGGGGGGATGGGGCGCGCAAGCGGCCAGATGGGGCGGGGCGCGGGCGGCAGTGGAGTCCTGCGGCTGGGTGGGATATAGGGCAATGAGCGTTGAGCAGTGTGCGATGAGCAATGAGCAATGAGCAGTGAGCAGCCCCTCCCGAAACAAAGTGAAGCGCAGGACGGGGTCCGGTGGATGGGAGGCAAGGAAGCGCGGGGGTTGCCACGTGCGCTACCGCCGCCGCCGCAGGCAGCACCCCTGCGGCGGCGGCAGCGGCAGCAAGCCGTGGACCCAACCGCCGTGCCGCCGCCGCCGCAGGCAGCAGCCCTGCGACGGCAGCGGCAGCAAGCCGTGGACCGAAACGCCGTGCCGCCGAGTCCCGTGGCTGTGGCCGTGGGCTTCTGGCAGGAAGGTACGGCCGCAGCTCGGCGGCACGGGGGCGTCGCAGCGTGCCGCCGCCGCCGCCGCGCTGCCCCCCAGGCACGGCGGCGGCAGCAGCAAGCTTGGGCCCAAACGCCGTGCCGCCGAGTCCCGTGGCTGCGGCCGTAGACTGTGGGCCGGAAACTGCAGCCGCAGCTCGGCGGCACGCGGTTCTGTTCAAGTCGCCAAGCGTGCAGCAGCGCCGAACCACGCTTCCCGGCCTCGGCGCATGCCTTCAGGGGCCCCCTATCGCTGGGCACACCCCTCCAACACTGAACATGCGCCCGGGGGGAGGGCGGCCCGGGCTGCCCAGGCCAAAGTGGGCCGCCCTCGAGCACGGCGAGCACAGCAGCCGGAGAGTTGACCCCGGTGCTGAGTTCTCCTCCCCCGTGCAGCCACCTTCCCCTTCTTTGGTGTGGTGCCCGTGGTGTGCGACGAGAAGGGCAACGAGCTGCAGGGTGAGGGCTGGGGTGGGTGTGTGTGGGTGTCGGGCCGTGCCACCCAGACAAGGAGCGGCAGCGGGGAGCGGCCGCAGCAGCGGCACAACCCGCGCTGCCTGCCCTGATCTGCCCATGCCCTGCCGGTCTGCCTGCCTCACCCCCAGGCGAGTGCGAGGGCATCCTGTGCATCAAGAGCTCCTGGCCCTCTGCCATCCGCGGCGTGTTTGGTGACCAGAAGCGGTTTGAGGAGACGTACTACCAGCCCTTCCCCGGCTACTACTTCTCAGGAGACGGAGTGCGCAGGGATGCGGATGGGTACTTCTGGATCACAGGTGAGGGCCACGTGGCTGGTGCGTGATGGCTGGGGGCGGGTTCCGGTCTAGCCAGGGACGGTTGGCAAGCAGTGCCTGCGTGCCCACTCCCTGCCCGCCTGCCCACTGAGCTCCGCAGGGCGCGTGGACGATGTGATCAACGTGAGCGGGCACCGCATCGGCACGGCGGAGGTGGAAAGCGCGCTGGTGGGGCACCACGGCGTGGCGGAGGCGGCGGTGGTGGGCTACAGCCACCCCATCAAGGGCCAGGGCATCTGGGCCTATGTCACCCTGGTAGAGGTGGGTGGGCGGGACCGTATATGGCGTGGTGGTTATGTGGGGGTGGGGGAGGTGAATGTGGGTGGCGAGGCTGCTTCCAGAAGGCATGCCTGGTAGCTGCTCGCTGAGGCCGCGCTGCTCGCTGCTGCATGATGCCACTCCGGCGCCCTTGAGCAGCTTCCTGCCTGCCTGCCCTGCCAGCAGGGGGTGGAGTACAGCGACGGGCTGAAGAAGGAGCTGGTGGCGGCAGTGCGGTCGGAGATCGGGCCCTTTGCTGCCCCGGACGTCATCCACTGGGCCCCCGGCCTGCCCAAGACTCGCTCAGGTGGGTGGCCCCGGGTGTGGCGGGGCGGGGCGAGCTCCTGGCAATGGGCCTGGCTGGCCTGGTGGGGTGCAGATCTGCGGGCTGTGCGTGCCCTGTGCGCTCCCCAGAATGCCAGCGCCGCCCGCCTGCCGGCCACGGAAGCAAACTTGGGCCTCTGCGCCGCTGCTCCGCTGCCAGCGTGCCGCGCCCCTTCCCCGCCCTGTCCTCACCTCTGCGTTGACCCCGGCCCGCAGGCAAGATCATGCGGCGGGTGCTGCGCAAGATTGCGGCCAACAAGGAGCACGAGCTGGGGGACACCTCCACCCTGGCAGACCCGGGCGTGGTGCAGACCCTGATTGAGATGCGCGGCAAGTAGAGAGCGGGCCCGGACCAGGCTCCTGGGCTTCCCCACCAGACCGTGAATGAACGACGGCCACTTTTCAACCCCTGCTGCCACGCCTGTCGCCTAGTGTCAGCAGAACCTCACCAACAGCATCATCTTGTGAGCCGGAACGGGCTGGGGGGGGGGGGGGGGGGGGGGGGAGGGGGGGGGGGGGGAG